TCTGTCGCTCTGCTCAGTACAATCGGCAAACGTCCAAATGCTCCGCCTACCCCGATGCTTTAAATCCGAACGGATACTTGGAATACAAGCCTAATGTTGACATTCTCTACATCGAAAAAGTCTGCATTTCGGGTCAGTCTGTCACCATTCTATTCTGCGAACGAATAATTCTACCTTGCAGATCTTGTGCTTCCCTTGTCATGTGATGAAATCTTTCGACGAATTCCTCAACATGTCCTGTTTGGTGCGGTTCTTTCAAAACGTTCTAGACCACATGAAGACCAAGACTTCATGCCATTATTTATTTCTTTATCTAAATTTTTAGGCCACGCCTCTGAAATCGTTACTGCTGCTAGTGAAGAGGAATGCATACGAGAGTGCATTTTGGCAAAGGTGAGAATTACGGCCAAATAGTTATGAGTGCTGTGATAATCTAGGAAAAAACCTTCATTTTCATTAGTTTGTCCGAAAAGCTTTCAAGGTTTACATCTAGATTTCAGTTGGTTGATAGTTGTTGTGAGACGTTGTGAAGGCTTACGGATTTACCAGCTAGACACCTCATGACCACATATGGATGTAGCGCATCAAATTAACAATTTCTGGCTCTAAGTTCGCAACTGCAGCTGCGAGCAGTTGTTTTATGAATTCTTCAAGGGTAATATCAGCGTTGCGTCACCAGAGGCCTCCTTACTACCTATTCACTGCAAGTCATTGCTTCAGCTACCTTGCATGTAGAGATATAGGAGTTTAGGTATTTTTTTGTTACCGGATGAATGCGAATGAGGTGGTCCACCCTGGAGTGCTGCTTTGAGGCATAACAGTAACCGTTTTCGGACAAGCCCATTAGCTAAAGAAGTTGCTTGAAGCTGGAGAAAAGAATGACAAAAAAAAAACATTTTTTAAAGTTTTTTCGCGTTACCGCTATGAGGTTTTGGCTCAGGCAATTCAAAATATAGGATAATCCGTACGGGATGGTGGTTGTAGACAAATAGCCTGCCATCAGGAGAGAACACAAAAAAAATCCGGCGATAG